GCAAACTGACAGGTCGCAATCAGTGTGCAGCGGGCTCGGTGGGATCCAGTGTGGCTTGCGGTGTGCTGGTGGGGTGTTCGCCGCCAGCGCAGAGCAGGAGGGGTTGTGGGAGAGGGGAAAATGGGGAAGGGCACAGAGGGGAACAGACCGGAAAGAGCAGAGGAGCAGCGGACATCCCGTTGTTAGCTTGGTGTGGCGGCGGGGCGCCTGTCAAAACAGTTTGATATCCTGCCTCCCCTTCCTCCCTCTCCGTCCTCATCCCTCTGTCCTTCTGACATCCTCCTTCCTCGTCTTGCTTCTCCGTCCTTCCCGTTCTCTTCCTCCTCCTCCACGGGATGGCCGGCTAGCCGTTTGTCGAGGCGAAGGCGGGCGGCCGCGCGGGCAGGCTCGGTCGGCCCCTGACCGGCTGCGCGAACGGGCGATCCAGGCTGCACGAAGTGGACCCACAGCGCCTCCTCTCGTGGAGGGGGGATGAGGAGGGAGAGGAGGATGAGGAGGGAAGAGCAGGAGGAACAGGAGGAGGATGGCGACCCACATGGTGTCAGAGAACAACGCCCAGGTCGTCACGGCACGAGCTTGCCGCACCGCTTCTCGATGACGGCCGTCATTGGGGGGTTTGGGGGGGAGGTGCAAATGACGTCACGGTTTGTGCCGGCGCGGGACTTCTTCTCACCCTCGTTCTCTCTCGGCGGCGAGCGAGGGGGGGAAGCGAGAAGGAGAAGGCGCCGGGTCTCCTTCTCACCCTTGTTTTCTCTCGGCGGCGAGCGAGGGGGGGAAGCGAGAAGGAGACGGCGCTGGAACTTCTTCTCACCCTCGTTTTCTCTCGGCGGCGAGCGAGGGGGGGAAAGTGAGAAGGAGAAGGCGCCGGGACTTCTTCTCACCCTCGTTTTCTCTCGGCGGCGAGCGAGGGGGGGAAAGCGAGAGGGAGAAGGCCTCCTCAGACGGCGCCGGGGCTTCTCACAGAGGGCCTCGGGCCCTCTGGGGAGGTTCCTCCTGCGTCTGCGGGAGAGGCTCGGAGGACTTCTCGGGAGGCCGGGGGGCTTCCGGAGCCTTCTGAGGAGGCCCGCCCCTGCTCACTCGCCCCCTGGGTTCGCCGCCCACGGAGGAACTGATTGTTATATCCCAGCGTTCTTGATAGATCGGGGGTGGACAGAACCCCCAACAGTGACACGTCGATTAGTGAATTGTCCGTTTTTGGTTTTCGAGAGGGCGCCGTGGCCGTTATTTTCCAGGCTTGTGCCCGCCAGGTTTGGGCCTCAGGTCGTTTTCACTAAACCACGTTTTGCTAAAGGGGGGTCTGTCCATCCCCGAAAAGATTTTAGCTGGCATCCAGGGGTCGTCTTCAGGCCCCGAGGCCGTCGGACGTACTCGTCTTCCCGGGCGAAGCGCTGCCCCCCAGGGAAGCGGTCGGGAGCCCTGAGGCCGCGGATCGACAACATGTGCTCGGGTGTCCGGGGGTGCCGACACAGACACAATTTAATCTTCGATTCCTCAGAAAATGTGTGAAAATATGGGAAGTGGGGGGAAAGACAAACGCCCAGGAAATATGCGAGAAGATGGGGATTTTTTTATTTCAGTGTATTTATTCGTGTGTCCTGGGGCCCCTTTCACGAGGGGAGGCATAGAGGCTCCGAGGACCGGGGATCCAGGGCGGGAGCCACGACGCTTCGTTGCATATATGGCCCGTGTGGCGCGTGCGGTCCCGCTCGAGCATCGCACTAATTAAGCAGAGGAAGGCGCGAGGCGGGCGCCGCCCCCCACCGTGCAGACCAGGCATGATCTCGAACTGAGCCTCGTTGCCGCCCCCGACCTTCCTCGCTCCTCCTCCTCCCCCCCCTCCCTCCCTACCTCCCTTCCTCCCTCCCTCCCTCCCTCCCTCCCTCCCTCCCTTCCTTCCTTCCTTCCTTCCTTCCTCCTCCTCCTCCTCCGCCTCCTGCTCCCACTCCTCCTCCTCCTCCTCCTCCTCCTCCTCCTCCTCCTCCGTAGCCATTTTTGGCTCAAGGGGCTGGCTCGCCAGTTTTGCTCCGCGCACCCTGCATACGGTTCCCTCGTGCCCTCGGCCCAGTTCGCCATGTCGGCGTGCTCGGCGGTCGAGGCCAAGCTTGCAGCGCTGCTCTCTTCGGTCAGCGCCACGGTGGTCAAGCGGCCGCTCCGGGAGTGGCTTCTCAAGGAGGCGGTGGTGGCGGCGGCCACCGCCTGCCTTGCTGCTCCGGCGGCGGGAGCCGGCATTGGCGGCGTTCTGGAGGCCTGTTCGGCCTGCGCTGTCATCGACGGCTACGAGGACGTGCTCATCAAGTACGGGCACGACCACAAGAAGGCCACGGGCGAGGACATTCGTCGTCGTCTCGTGGACGGCGGGCACCGCGAGCTCGCCAAGGAGTGGGTCAGCCTGCGCAACGGCCGGCGCGCTTGCGCGCACCCGCACCGTGAGCTGCTGGACAAGATCCACGGCGCTCTTTCGTGCGCGGCTGACCCCCCGACCTGCTGTTCCACGGGTGCCAGCGGGGACGAAGGCTATCACTCCGACTCGGCGTCGGGCAGCGGGGACGGCCTGTCTGGGTCCCTGCAGGAGCTGGCGCGGGTCAAGCAGGAGCTGGCGCTGGTCAAGGAGGAGGCTTTCGCCCACAGCCAGCGCGCGGACGAGGCTGAGGGCATGCTGCTGGTCGAGCGCGCGCGGGTCGCCGAGTGCCAGGAGCTGCTCTCTTCGGCCGAGGGTCGCCTTCAGGAGTGTCAGGCGGTCGCCGACAGCCTCTGCGACGAGCTCATGGCGACTCGTGCCGTTGCCTGGGGTTTCTCACAGGAGCTCCAGCATATCGAGGCTAAGGTCGTCAGCGACTGCATCACCGAGCTGATTGGGGAGAAGAAGGGCGGCGCGCTTCCCAGCTTTCACGAGGACTCCGCCGTGCGGGAGGTGGTGAGCCCCGCCGACGGCGAGGAGGTTCTTGCTGAAGCGTCGAGTGGAGCCAACCAGGAGTCCGAGGGCGAGATCGAGTATGCCGCCAAGTCCTCTGGGCTCTCCTTCGGTGTCGGCGCCGAGAAGATTTCTTCCTGCTCTTCTTCTCCAGGGCCCGCTCCGCTTGACGAGGACATGATGTACCTGCATGCCAAGCGGATGGTGGAGGTTCTCAACACCTGCGAGTTCGCTTTCAATCCCATCGACGACGAGGCCGTGTCCGCTTTGGCGGGTTTTGGTGACTACTGGGCCTCGCAGCTCGTGGAGGAGATGATCGCGATGAAGGCCAAGATCCGCAACCCCAGCGGATTCATCAAGGCCGCCGCTCGCCGTGCAGGACTTGGGCCACCAGCCTGGTGATACGGTAGGTTCGGGGTTATCCTTTAAAACCCCCCGCTTCGGCGTGCCACGGCCCAGCACTCACCGCTGGCGTGCCGTGGGGGCGGCGGTCACCCGCGTCGACCGCCGTCGTTCGCATAGGTTCGGGGTTTCCCTACAAAACCCCCCCGCCTTTAGGGCGGTGCCTCGGCCCAGCACTCACCGCTGGCGTGCCGAGGGGTGGTCGATTTGAGTTCGGGGTTCACCTTAAACCCCCCCGCCTTTCGGCGGTGCCGAGGCCCCGCACTCACCGCGGGCGTGCCTCGGGCAGCACGCCGCCTCAGTTCCCAGACGAGGGTCTGGGAGCCTTGGCTGTCGGAGCTCCCTCGAGCGCGACGGAGGCACAGCGCGCTGTTGGGGGAAGTCCTCAGCACCCACCCCGCCGCTCGGCGATCTCTCGCCGCCCTCCGTTCGGAGGGGTCGAAGGGTCGGGGGGTGGCTGCCGTTCGGCAGCCACCTTGGGTGCTGAGTGGTTCTTCTCTCGTTCCCCCCGCGGCACGCTGTGCTTAACAAAAGGTCCAAACAGGTCCTCCTCCTCCTCCTCGTCCTCCTCCTCCTCCTGATCCTCCTCCTCCTCCTGATCCCCCTCCCGCCCCCCTCACAGGTTGTTCTGCCTTTCTTGTATCACCGCTCGCGATGGCGGCCGTTGCTTCTTGGGAGGAGGGGGAGGGGCCAGTCACGATCTGCACCAGCGCCGTCTGGTCTGCTACGCCCCAGTCATTCCTAGGCAGCGCCAGCGCGAATCAGGACTCCTTCCTCGCTCCTCCTCCGGAAGCGTGACAAACCACCAATAAGCCCTCCTGGCCTCGTCCACGAGAGCGTAGAAACAATGCCAGGGCCAAAGGTTACCCTGACCGGGCATGGTGGTGGTGTGGGTGCCTTCTGCGCATCGCCCCATCCTTCCACTGGTCGACCGAGCTTAAACCGCCGCACCCGCCCGCGGCACCGCCTGCTTTTTCGTGGGGACGCTGCGCCTCCTCCCGCTCCACTCTGCCAGTCGGCGGTGATCGGGGTGTCCCCCGGGGCACGGGCCCGATCTTCTCGGCCCATGTCAAGCAGTGGCGAAGCGTCTTGGCTCGCCTATAGGCTCACCAAATAATGTTCTAAGAACCTTGTGTGGTTTGCACGAAACGTTCTTAGAACATATCTGCCTGGGCCCGTCCTGTTCTCACACATCGGTGTATGTTCTAAGAACGATGTTGTTTTTGTTACTCGAATGTACGGCATTTGTGGGTTCTAAGAAAATTTCGTGATATGCCTGTAGGAATGCGGGGACAGTCGGTCCCTGGTCAATTATGGCACGTCGAGGGCAGCGCAGCGATCCTTCGGGCGAGTCCGCGGAGCCGGGAGGTTTGGGGAGGAGGCCAGGGAGCCCACGGGATCTCGTGAAGTTCGGCTACGCGTGCGCAGTGCCTCCTCGCAGGGTTGACCTTCTGTGCCGGCCCAGAGTGGTCTCCCCCAGCACTGGCCAACGTGCTCGGATCCGTCTCCTTTCCCCGCCCAACACGCTCACCCCACGCGGCCCCCCCGGGCCGCACACAAGAGGTCACCTTTGCCTGTAGGGCCACGTCTGCGTGTAGCCGACGGGAGGCCCGTGAAGCTTGAATCGAGCCCGGGAAAACAGGACGTGTAGAAGAGAGCCGTCGTGACAAGATCCCTTGTGGTGTGCAGCCAATTTGGCTCAAGAAGTAGGTACTGAACCGAGGGGTGGGGGCCCTGCGGTAGCAGGCCGGGGGCATACCCCGGCCGGGCGCTCTTCTGGGCGGCGCGAGTTCTCCCCCCTTTCTACGTACACGTCTCTCTGTGGCTGGCTCGTTCGATCGCCATGGACGCGCAGGTGCCCTTGGCCGGCCATTCGGTGCGCCCTGGAGGCTACTTCCACATGGTGAGCCTCGGGCTTCTGGTCTTTCTGCCGGCGAGCCTGTTCATGGCGTCGCTGTGCTTCATGACATTCTTCTTCAAGGAGCTCCCTTCGCTGGTCTGGGTGAGCATCTCCATGTGCCTGGGACTCTCGTTGTTGCTCATGGTGGTGAGGCAAAAATACTGGTTCAACCTGGGGGTAGTCTGCTTCATGGCGGTCATCTTCGGCACAGCAGCAGGCCTTTGGAACTACCAGAAGAACATGGACAAGTATTGGGCCTACCAGGGGCAGCGCACGTACTCCGACGTGCCACCGACGAAGCCCGCCTTGCAGCACCTGGACGCGGGGAAGATCGTGTTCACCGCTGACTCGGTGATCGACGAAAAGCGGACAAACACACTGGTGTCTGGCAGAACCTTCTGCGTCGCTCCCATCGTGGCAAAAGGTGCGTCGGGCAAGCAGAGCCTGCAGTACTGGGCCGCAGGCGTAGACTGCTGCGTGAAAGGCTCGAAGTTCTTTTGCGACGATGCCGCAGATCCCAAAGCCCACGCCGGTCTGGTCTACCTGGACGATTTCACGCTCCCAGACTACGACGTGGGCGAGTTCCGAGCCGCCGCAAAGGCCATGATGGAGGCGCAAGGCCTCAGCGGCGCGAACTCCAACGATGCGATCTTCGTGAGGTGGGTCAAGGATGCTGACGCGGCTCACCGAGAGTATTGGGTTGTCGCCACGAATTTCGCAATCATAGGCATCTGTGTCTACACCGTGTTCACGATCATTGCGGGGTTCTCGATCCACTTCAACAGCCGGCGTATGCCTCCGAAGAGCAAGATGGAGGCGCGGTACGGTGGGCGCCCCTGAAGGGGGATTCGGCTAGCCACTAGGGCTACGAAAATGGCTAACGCGGCAAGGGTATGCCTAGGCCTTCCACATGGGACCGAAGCAGTTGGGGTCGGAGCAGTTGGGGTCGGAGGTAACGCCTATGCATCGCGGTGATGCGGCGAGATCCAGATTTTATCCATCCCAGCGTCGCCGATGCTTCACCAACGCTTCGGCGATGCGGTGTGATCCTCGGACACTATCTACCTGGGAGCTCCAGAGTTGGAGGTCTCTGGTTTCGGGAGCTCTCCAGAGGCCCCCCGGAGGCCTCGAGGTAGCTTCCGAATGTTCGGAGGGGACCAGACACTTCCGAAATCGGAGGTTCGGAAGCTCACACCAGCACCGACACCCCAAGGCCCAAGAAGGATAACCGTCAACACACAGGGATTTGCATCTCTTGGTCCCGATGCCGATTCCCCAGCGATAACGGGCGTGACCAGGGGGGGGAGCGGGGGACGGGACCGGTCACGTCACGATTCGCGTCGGCGCTGTGTGGGAATGTGCTTGGGAAGGGCAAATTCCCACGCGGCGCCGGCGCGAATCGTGACGCGACCAGGGCCCAGATCATTGGATGCCAGATTGTTTCGGTCGCGATTGGTAGCGACCGATCGGCACTCCAAATCGGTCGTGACCTATCGGGACAGGTCGGTCGCGACCGACCTGTCGCGACCGATTAAGCAAATCGACCGCGACAGGTCCTGGAATTTGAAACACAATCGGTAGCGACCGATCTCGTCGGTCGCGGTTGGAAACCTCCAGTATCCAATGATCGGGGGGGGGCCAGGCGCATCGATAGGGGGGATAGGTATAGGCGCGGGATGCATCGACCCCCAATCACCCATCGATAGCCGGTAGGGCTCTGATGGCCCCACCCCGCCCAGGAAGGTTCGAATTCGCTATCGGGGGCCTATCGCCGATGACTCGGCGATTTGTCGCCGATTCCAGATCGACGTTCCCCCCCCATGCCAGGCCCCCCCCCACATCACATCGTTGCCCCTCAGGGGGTGGGGGGGGGCAGGGCTGTCACGGGACTTCAGCGCGATTACTGACGATAGGGTTCCAGCTGCCCTGGGTCCTGCCGGCCCGATCGGTTCGGGCGGGTGGTCATGGGGGGGGTGACCTAAAGAGGGGGTGAATAAAACGGCTATAATGGGGCCTGTAGGAATGCCGCTTTTTGGGCCCCTGCAGGAACCAAAAGGGGCCCGAAAGGGCCCCTTCAGGGCCCTTCTCGTCACTCCCGGTTTACGTCACCCCCAAGTACAGTCAACCCGCATGGCAAGCATGAGCAGTTCGCTAGGGTTGCCCTTGCACCCGTCCCCTCCGGCCCATCCTTGGCAGCTCTCGCTGGCCGCGCCCCGCTCGCAAGGTGTCGGCATGGCCTTCCCGGGCCCTGGCGTCCTCATTGTGCGTCCTTCTCATGAGGGTTGACTTTCGACGCCACCCTTAAGTCGGGCCTGTCCCTCGTATTCAAAAATAGTTTAAAAAATAGTCTGGGGACTATGTTTTGAGTATTTCCTGACCATTTGGGTTCTTGGAGTGTTCGTTATTGGCCGTAGAAAATCCCCCTGTGGGGGGACACGCCCGACTTAACGCCACCCCCTCATCACCACCCGCTCGATCGCTGGGGCCTCGAGCGTGCGAGGCTCCTGCGGCCGGGGACCTCGGCGGCCCCGCGCCGCCGCCGCCGCCTCAGCCCGACGCTCGGGGGCCGCGGATCTGGCCGGCCCCTGGCAGACCGTCCCCTTGGGGCGACGGCCCCCCTCTCAGGCAGTGGCGAAGCGTCCCGGCGTGCCGATAGGCCTACCAAACAGCATTCTAAGAACCGTTTGTGGTGTCCACAAAATGTTCTCAGAACATGTCTGGTTGAGACCGTCTTTTCTTAACGCATCGGGTTAATGTTCAAAGACACTTGTTTTTGTTCTTAGAACATTTTAGGGTTCTAAGAACGCTTCTAGGAGGACTATAGGAATGCTGGGACGGTCGGTCCCTGCTCAACCCTCGCCTTGCTCCGAGACTCAGGATCTCCGACGAGGATCGAGGGAATCGGGGGCGGCAACGAGTGGGGTGATGGCCAGGGTTGTGTGGGTAGCATGGCGAGGTCCAGGGTATCTCCCCGGATTTCATGGCGCCTCTTCTTATTCCAATGCGCCCCCGCCCCCCCCCCGCCTCCTAGGGCGCGCACATGCCGCTGGCCATAATTTGCGGCCCCCCACCCCTCTTGGACGCACCCCTCCTGGACACCCCCGAGGGAAGACGCTCCAGGCCTCCCAGATGGGGTCGGGGCTGATGGGATCGTAGGGTCGCGCTGCATCGCCGATGCATCGGCGATGTAAGGCCGACGTCGCCGATGCATCGCCTCCCTCCAAGACCCAAGTTCGAGCTGGCCTTGGGGCCCGTAGCGGATTTTCCCGTATCCCTTTCCCTTGATTGTTTTTGTTTGAGGCCCATCCAGTTCAGCTCCCCCAGCCGCCTCCAAGACCCAAGATCTCCGAATAGTTATACTCGAGGGAAGAAACACGCTGACCATGACCACGCTGTCGCGGGCTTCGTCGACGCCGATCTTGGTCATGGTCCATACTGGCCGTCGCTGATTCGTGGTACGATCCACGAAGCAAGGAGAACCAAGAAGAGGGCCGCTGACCAATACTGGCACCGACGTTTCCGTGTCAGTCTTGGTCATGCGTCCTTGGTTCTCCCTTCAGCCTATGATTTGCTCGATCCAGGTGGTTTCCCTTGGCATCTGGACTCTGGTGCCCGTGATCTGGCGTCGGGGTCGCCAGACATTGATCCAGGGAAGCAGCTGGCTTGGCACATCGGCGGATGCGTGGGCGGGCTGCCCGAAGGAAGCTCGTCACGGAAGGGATCGGTGGGGCCGCCCCCCCCGAGACGCGCCCCATCGCTGGCTCGCTGGCACCCGCGCGTTCCCCAGAGGACCGGAGAGGGCCAGACGCCCTGCCGTTCCGGGACCCCTCGGGCCTGCCCTCCTCCCTGCCCTCGCTGCCTCCTCCTCCGCTGCCCCGCGCGAATCGCAGCACTCCGGGCCCGCTGGCCCGGGTGCTTTGCATGTGCCCCTTTGGCGCGCACCCGCGCGCCGAGCGCGCCGGCGAGCGTCAGGCCGAAAAGAGAGGGCGCGGAGGGGAGCACGCGGCCAACCCAGTGATGTCCGGCGAGCCAGGAGCATCGGGGCGGCTGGGTTTTCGCACTGTCTGTGCCTCAGGGGGGCCCCTTGTCTCCAGGCCTCCCAGGTGGGGTCGGGGCTGATGGGGGTCGGAGGATCGCGCTGCATCGCCGATGAATCGGCGATGCGGCTCGATGTAGAGCCAGAGTTTCTCAACGCCGACGGCGCCGATGCATCGCCAATATCGCCGATGCATGGCCAATACCTGGCGGCCCCAGAACATCTGGTAGCGGCGAAATCCGAACTTCACCGTCGCCGATCAACGATTCAGGCAAGTGGATGGGCTGTGGGGGTAGGGTTCGGAATTCGTTGAATTCAATGGCGGAATCCGATTCAGGTGAATCGATAATTGTTCGGGGTAGGGTTTTGATGTCGCCACCTAATCCTGGCACGATCGAGAAGGGTACGGAAAGAATGGGTACGATGCCCAACAGCAGTTCCTGCTCATTTTGAATAGGGCCCGCTGTCCACGCCGCCGCGGACGTTGTCCATGTCCGCCCAACAGCAGCCGCTGTCGTTTTTGTTTCCCAACCCTCCTGTGGTGGGTACTCGTTTTGAATAGAGAAGTGTGGTCGCCCCGTCCTTCTCCTCCTCCCCTCTCCTCCCCTCCTCCTCTCTTGCCTCCTGTGTTTTCTTCTCTTCTTCCCTCGTGCCGTCGGGCTGCGATCTGCGCAAATGTCGCCACTTTCGTGAGCTCCTGGGGGGCCCAGCGGAGGTACGTCCAACGCGGACCACCTCGAGACCTCGCCGCCCCCTGGGGGGCTTGCGATTTGCGCAATTGTCGCCACTTTCGGGGGCTCCTGGGAGGCCCAGCGGAGGTACGTCCAACGCGGACCACCTCGAGACCTCGCCGCCACCTGGGGGGCTTGCCATCTGCGCAACTGTCGCGACTTTCGTGGGCTCCTGGGAGGCCCAGCGGAGGTACGTCCAACGCGGACCACCTCGAGACCTCGCCGCCCCCTGGGGGGCTTGCCATCTGTGCAATTGTCGCCACTTTCGTGGGCTTCCGGGAGGCCCAGCGGAGGTACGTTCAACGCGCACCACCTCGAGACCTCGCCGCCCCCTGGGGGCCTTGCCATCTGCGCAACTGTCGCCACTTTCGTGGGCTCCTGGGAGGCCCAGCGGAGGTACGTCCAACGCGGACCACCTCGAGACCTCGCCGCCCCCTGGGGGGCTTGCCATCTGTGCAACTGTCGCCACTTTCGGGGGCTCCTGGGAGGCCCAGCGGAGGTACGTTCAACGCGCACCACCTCGAGACCTCGCCGCCCCTTGGGGGGCTTGCCATCTGTGCAATTGTCGCCACTTTCGGGGGCTCCTGGGAGGCCCAGCGGAGGTACGTCCAACGCGGACCACCTCGAGACCTCGCCGCCCCCTGGGGGGCTTGCGATTTGCGCAATTGTCGCCACTTTCGGGGGACGTCCAACGCGGACCACCTCGAGACTTCGCCGCCCCCTGGAGGGCTTGCGATCTGCGCAACTGTCGCCACTTTCGTGGGCTCCTGGGAGGCCCAGCGGAGGTACGTCCAACGCGGACCACCTCGAGACCTCGCCGCCCCCTGGGGGGGCTTGCCATCTGCGCAAGTGTGGCCACTTTCGTTGGCTCCTGGGAGGCCCAGCGGAGGTACAGACCTCGCCGCCCCCCGAGGGGCTTGCGATCTGCGTAATTGTCGGCACTGTCGTGGGCTCTTGGGAGGCCCAGCGGAGGTACGTCCAACGCGGACCACCTCGAGACCTCGCCGCCCCCTGGGGGGCTTGCGATCTGCGTAACTGTCGCTGTCGCGACTTTCGTGGGCTCCTGGGAGGCCCAGCGGAGGTACTTCCAACGCAGACCACCTCGAGACCTCGCCGCCCCCTGGGGGGCTTGCCATTTGCGCAACTGTCGCCACTTTCGTGGGCTCCTGGGAGGCCCAGCGGAGGTACGTCCAACGCGGACCACCTCGAGACATCGCCGCCCCCTGGGGGGCTTGCCATCTGCGCAACTGTCGCCACTTTCGTGGGCTCCTGGGAGGCCCAGCGGAGGTACGT